AATTGCCAGACATCGTCACACAAAACCCTGCTTCTGACTTAGTTGGGGAAAATAGAGAACGATAGCGATTCAACTCAAATGAGTCATATTATAGTTCTATATAAAGCTGTTGGTAAACTTTAAAAACTTTCTGTCCGCACCTCCCACCAAAAAAAAAAAAGTTTCAAAAGGATGTTTTTTTTCCATTGAGACTAGTATTAAAAACTACCTTCACTTCTAAGAAATTTTTATTGCTTGAAGGAGCGACGATTAGAATTTTAATAAAACCTAAACATATGGTGAAAGTGAATTCATACATCTTTTGCTACACTATTTGTTAGATTCTTTACTTACATTAATAAATTTATATTGACAACATTCTAAAAACTAATACAATTAGAACTAATGCAATGTAATATTTATCATTTACCAGTTTATAAAGAAATAAATATGAAAACAATTTACTATTTTAAGTTCGAATATATTTACGATGTTTTGCGAGCCTTTCCAATAAACAATATAATAAATAAAATAGTGTAAAAACAAACTAATAATTAAATAATGTTCATTATATTGGTTGTCATATCTCAAGAACAAAGAAAAGATATAAATTAACATTCATATATTTAATTTTATTACAATTCTAATCATCGCTTTTTAAAACAATAAACATTTCAGGGGAGTGAAGGGAGTTAATATAATAGCGGTGTCAATGGAAAAACGCACCCTTTTCACATATCGTTTTTCTTTTTTTGCAGGCATGAAGGTTCGAGTTTGCCAAGCAGTCATTGCCATTGCTCCTATGATATTTATTCCTATTCCGATATTATAAAGAAAAAAGCTTTTCAAAATTGATTACTGTCCTCTGTATTAAGTAAAGACAATAGAAATTATTCGGATTTAGCCGTTACTGTCTGCGGTAAGTAAATATTAGTAGTGCTCAAATAAAGATTAAAGATACAATATTTTCTGTTCAATTCTGCTTTGTTTATATGATATCATATAGTTTATATAGGTATAATAATATAGGTATTTCTCATACCACCAATGTAAAAATATCGCGACAGTTATGGTTTTAGTTCGAATAATTCGCTAAAAGGCAGTATAGCATGATGATAAAAGACCCCAAACTTAATAAAAACAAAATTTTCGACGTCAAAATGTTTATGTTATTATTAAGAGAAAAGAACAAATTATTTAAAAAAAGAAAATTTCCTCCTTTCCAACACGTTCTAAATTTAGGTAAAAAATCTCGTTTTTTATTTTTTGGTCAACTTTGTAAGAGTTGTAGTAATGTATATTTTTAGTATAACATTTTCCAGTGAAAAACACATTCATTTGGAAATTCATGCAAAAATCAAATGTCTGATTTTAATGAAACTCTCAGCACTTATTCAAAAATGAATGAATTTATTTTTGATTTTTTTTATTCTTAGATAAAATATTTCTGATACCTCCCCACCCGTAGCTTAATTTCATGAAATTTTCTAGAATTTCAAAGAGTACGAAAATTGTTTTATATTACTTGTAAGCAGAACTCCTTGGAGAAAGTAAATCATCAATGTTTTTTCACAAATGCTCCCAACTTCTGCTCCAAATCGTAAAATGAAAACTGCAATAAAACTATCTAATTATCTTATTAGGCTTTTATTTGCTTTTATAAATAATATACATTAAGTACATTATTGTCTGAAGAAAAAAAAATTTCGATGAATAATGAATTTTTACAAGAATTGTTTGCATTTTTTTAATTTAGTAGGGTAGATTTTTCTAATTGCACGTGCCATGCCGTTTTTGAAGAATGTACCACTCGACCCGTGAACTAAAGTAAATGTTCGGTTTGAAATTCCAACGTATATCACCTGAAGAAGATCGGAGCATACAACGACCGAAACGTCGTGAATATCGCACTAAAGATGATGACAACAGTCCGACCGATGTAAATAGTGCAAATAGTCACAGATTATTTATTAGAGAACCTTTTCTAGTACACTTTTTTACAATGATGTTCACTCCGTATAAGGCATAAGAGCCACTCGAGGTAGAGGATTACAGATTAAGATGCACAGTTTATGGGGATAATTGGAGAAGATATCAATACTGGTATATGTTACTGAATACGGGACAATTTCCTCAAAGATGAAGAAGGGTCTTGAAGCAGCAGAAATCTGGTTCTACAGAAAGAAGGAAGAGACAGCTGAAATTTATAGGTCACATAACGAGGAAAGAGGGCATGGAAAATTTGATACTCACGGGACAGATTGAGGGCAAGAGGGACAGAGAGTAATAATGTATAACCTATCTGACCAGCTTTGGTAATGGATGGCGGAGCCTGTTTGGTAAGAGATGGCAAAAAGACGAAATTTATTGAGAGTTAGAAAGGTCAGGTAGTTGTTGAGAGCCATAATCGCCAACATCCTAAAGGTTCAGGAAAATATCATTTTAGGGGCAGCATAGACACGAGCGATAAAAATAGATGTATTGTGACTTAATCTAAATGGAATATACTACTTGGTGTTTTGTGGGATTCCAATGTATCTCTTTATTATGTCTTAAGCTGTGTCAAACTGCTACTACAGCAATGCTACAATGAGCAATTGGTTCGTTTGAATGACGCACTAGAACTGGAAATTACGTTTCTGGCAGCAAATGTAGCTGCAGTATGAAGATCTTCCTTATAAAGCTGATCGTTTTTTCACTGCATACAACGTTCGTTGTTTGGTCATTGGTGCCAGCCTACAGAAATATCGAAAAAATCCCCGAAGTATTAATGGAATCAAAGTTGGAATATCTGTTTAATGATAAAAAATAAGACCAAACTGTAAGCTAACATAAGGAAAGCCAAGACAAAATACATGTATTTGTAGATCTTAAAAATGTTGTCGTTTTGCTATCTGTTCTAAACCCTGTTTTGCCATTCATTTACACAAGCTCGTTAGGCAGGGGTGACGCGCTGTTTTTTTTCTTTTCCTATGTTATTCTGTAGAACCAGATTACTTTTGTTTCAAGCCTCTTCTTCAGATTGGCCAACATTCATTGCTATTTTGGAGGACTGATATTACATACTCTTTTCTTTGCTTCGAATTTTTCCTTTTCCTAATACTTTATTTAGCTTTTGGAAGACATCTTTCGCGTTCCCATCTGCCTTTAGATTTCGGTCTCGGACTTTCCGTCCTCTGTTAAATCTCTTCCCAGATATTTAAAGTTTTTTTTTATACTTGTTTGATTTTGGTAGTCCCAATTTGTAATTTGCTTATTGGGCTCTGCCTTTTGCTAACAACCCTGTACACAGTCTTCTTAGAATTGATGTTGAGTCCTTTCTTTTCGCATTTCCTTACGACCTTCTTTAGTTCTTGTAGTTTCCTTTCTGTGTCTGTCCTCTACATATCTAACATTGTTAAGATTATGGCCGCCAATAATGAATCCTGCTAGGACTACTAATACTCTCAGAATCGCTACACAATCATGTGGGGTCGAATTAATTTATTTGAAGAGATGTATTTTTTATTTTAGTCGTATTTTTTTTTTTTGTAAAATGTTCATTTTGCATTTAATATTACATTGTAACGATGAGATCTTAGAGATATTGCAAACAAGAAGAAGGCTTATACTTAACACCAGGAAGAGGCAGCTGAAGTTTCTGGAACGCATGATGAGGAAGGAGGGCCCGGAGAATTTGATACTCACGGATCGAATAAAGGGAGAGACAAGGGAAAGCAGCGCGTGACATATCTGGTGGACTTAAGCAAGTGGATGACAGAACGTGGTCTGAGGGAGGAAGCAGTGGGAAGGAACTTGATGAGAGCTGCAAGGGATAGAGGAAGGTGGAGAGCCATGATCGCCTACACCCTGAAAGGACATGGCACATAAAAAGAAAGAAGATTACATTGCATTAGGATAATTTAGCTTTAATTAATTTCATCCAAAACATCGCTTTTAAATTTATTTTGATAGTTACTGCCAAACTGATAAAATTGACGTATTTTGGTTTATTGATTCCAACAGTGTATTTATTTGTTTATTGATTCCAAGAGTGTATTTATTTGTTTATTGATTAGGCTGTAGAGATTGGGTTCGAATTCCATGTTGAGTTATATTCACATTCACACAAATCTATATCTCAGCTATGAGTTAAATCGGGCAGACTGGGCTCTCTATCCGTGATTGGCAGCCAGTCTAGGAGAAGAAAAAACTCTGAATTCAAAACTATATGTAAACTTATCGACGGTACAACCAACGAAAAGGGTCGTAAAATTTATCATGATTCCGACGGTTGTCGACCTGATAGATATAAATAAACAGATTTCAACGTTGAAAAAAAAAAAAAAAAAGAAACACTTGGGGGATTTTGATTTTAAGAAAGATAAAAAGACAACTCAAAAACGATTTGTGTATTTTATGGAAAAAGTTCTGGGACTATTCGAACGTGTCAAAATTGGTTTGGAAAGTTTTGTGCTGGTGATATTTGAACGATGTTCCACGGTTGGGTAAACTAATTTTGGTTGCTAGCGTTGAAATGAAAATATTACATGAAAATAATCAGATTTTATGTGCCGGGTGAATGTGGAAATATGTAATAAAAAAAACTACAGAACTGAACGGAGTCTTTGATTAATACAATATCTACTAATCATCTGAGATCACCGGAGGGCATTAGTATAAGATGAACAAGAACATTAACACCTGGATTTCGGGCCCTATTCTCAAATTCATGAAACCTCACAAAAAAACCCAGAAAAATGCTTTAATATCTAATCATTTTTGTAACGTCTAATATTTATTGTAAAATAATTCTTGCAATTATGAAAAAGAAAATTTGATACGCAATTTTTTGGAATTTCTTGAAGGTATTTACTAGACTGAGCACAATCTGACAGATCGTAATTGACTAGTATCAAACTACATTGCGTAACAGTGTTTGTTTTTAACCAACGCGTTAATTCATTTTAAATTCTCTAGTTCGGTCTGATAGTGCTGAACAGTTTAATCACAGGGTAAGATAGTGTGGGAAAAAACATCTACTCTGGTTCAGTTGAAGAAACGGACGAATGACACACATGTGATTAAGACATGCGTGTATGCATCGATGTGTCATGTCCCTTCAAGATGTGACCCATCAAGGCTCTCCACAACTTCTTATCCTTCGTAGCGTTAAGTAATGTTTGTTTATTTACTCACTCTATCCATGTTCTGCTAACCATTTACACAAAGTCTATCTCTCTTTCTCTCTCTCTCTCTCTCTCTCTATCTATCTATCTATCTATCTATCTATCTATCTCAATTTATTCATATCTATCTATCTTCATATCTGTATCAATCTATTTATATCTATTCATAGCTATCTATATTTATATCTGTCTCAATCTATCTATCTATCTATCTATCTATCTATCTATCTATATATATATATATATATATATATATATATATATATATCTTCATATCAATCTCAAAAATGAAAAACTCTGAATTTCATTTTTGTTTTTTTGTGAGGTCTCATGAATTTGAGAATAGGGCCCGAAATCCAGGTGTTAATGTTCTTGTTCATCTTATACTAATGCCCTCCGGAGATTTCAGATGATTAGTAGATATTGTATTAATCAAAGACTCCGTTCAGTTCTGTAGTCTGTCTGTCTATCTATCTATCTATCTATCTATCTATCTATCTATCTATCTATCTATCTATCTATCTTCATATCAATCTCAAACTCTATCTATCTATCTATCTATCTATCTATCTATCTATCTATCTATCTATCTATCAATCTATCTGTGTGTGCGTGTTTTCATATCTATCTATCTATCTATCTATGTATCTATCTATCTATCTATATTCATATCAATCTCAAACTCTATCTATCTATCTATCTATCTATCTATCTATCTATCTATCTATCTATCTATCTATCTATCTATCTATGTCGAAACTCTTTACGTAGGTTACTCACTGTGATGGAATCTCCCCTAACTATGGATGGCCAAATTTACCTCGTTGATTGAATAAACTGTTTTTTGACTAGAATTTCCAAGTAGGCGACGAGTCACGAAGACAGACACCTGAATGAGGTCGGAGAGTACAAATGCCGAAACTACCTATGGCATTAACTACCAACATGAGCCTGCTGATCCGAATAGGAAAACATATAATAATTAAAATTCTTTAGCTTAAAAATAGAACAAAAAACAAAAATACAAGCTTTGCTCTTTTTCTCTTTCTATATGACGCGGCATTTTTCTTTCAGTGATTTTTTTTTCTAGAATTATCCGAATGTTCATGTTTATGAAACTTTTCGAAAGTTTTTCTTTATCGCGTTAAATGAATATCCTCGTTAAACTAAGGTTTTTGGATTGTATATTTCAGTTCCATTTTCAAATCTCCTTAAGATTCTTGTCGCTGTTCATTGTACCTATCACAGCCCGTTACCGTCTGCCGACGCCTCCTTACACCCCCCCTTCCCGCTAAACCAATTAATTTCCCTCCTAAGTTTTCTTGAGTGTCTCTTCGCGGTGCTTCTCACATATCCATGTGAACACTTCTCAGAAGAACTGAACCCTCCCGAAAGTAGGGTCCCGCCTACCCTGGCACAGATTCTCTCACGAGGAGCACCTTAACTTTTGTTAATCAATCTTTCTTTCCCTGTTATTGAATCTCGTAGCGACACAAGTAGATGGATATATTTGAAAATTGGACACACATACACTCAACTTCACCTACCCTGCTTTCTCTTGAGGGTTTATATTTCTTAATCCCCCTTTTTTTTGCCTGTGTTCTTTCTGTCCTTCTTCTAGATAGTCTGTCTTTATCTATCTATCTATCTATCTATCTATCTATCTATCTATCTATCTATCAATCTATCTATCTATCTATCTATCTCTCTATCATATTCATTTCAAATCTATCACAGTTTGTTCAAATCTATCTTATCTATCTATCTATCTATCTATCTATCTATCTATTACATTCAGTTCAAATCTATCACAGTCTGTTCATATCTATCTCTATCTATCATATCTATCTATTTCAATCTATCTATCTATCTGTTTGTTCAAATCTATCTATCTATCTATCTATTCATCAATCTATCACAGTCTGTTCATATCTATCTATTCATCTATCTAATCTATCTATCTATCTATCATTACATCTTCAAATCTATCTATCACAGTCTGTTCATATCTATCTCTATCTATCTATCTATCTATCTATCTATCTATTACATTCATCTTTATAAGTCTGTTCATATTCATCTATCTATCATCTATCTATTTCTATCTATTACATGGTTTCAAATCTATCACAGTCCCCCTTATTGTATCTATCTATCTATCTATCTGAATCGCTATCTATCTATCTATCAATTACATTCCGTTCAAATCTTTTCTGTTCATATTTTCTATTTCATTTCATCTATCTATCTTTCTATCTATCTATTAATTCATTTCAAATCTATCACAGTCTGTTCATATCTATCTATCTATCTATCTATCTATCTATCTATCTATCTTTATAAGTATCTATAA